CAAGATACAGAGCACATAGCCCGCGAGTAATAGTCCGTACAGCCACGACAGCTATAGCCCGCCAAGAACCTTGGCAAGGTGGCTGCTCATCACATGCAGACTTGTCACTTGCGCTGTCCCCTGCTGGTGGACGCAAATAAGGTCAGCTCAGAAACGCTGCGCGACTGCAAATCTGACGTTGATGACTGGCTGGCGACGGGATGTGATGACCTGCGAAGCGCATGTGTGTGCTACTGTGCTTGCGTGTTGCCGCCTGGTTTTGCTCTCCGTCGCGCAGCACTATTTCTCTGGGCAAGTTGAATTTTTGGAATGCGCAACGTGCATCCCTGCGACCGTCATCTTGGGCCAGCGTGGGTGATGTGGTCTCGGCCGACACCAGACCAACCCACTTGCCGATGTTCCTATTGGCATCGGACCATCTTGGTCTCGGCATCTAAACATTCACCAAGCCCCAACGCCAACGACGGGAAATATGTCCGAATTTGTTCATTGGAGCCGCCCGTCGTTGCCCTGGGCATGCCCGTCAAGAGATGGTTGACAGACAAGCGCCCCCCAAGTCTCAGCTTCTCTGGCGGCGTGGGTGCGCGTGGGTGGTCCGGTGTTGATGGCAGACTTTCTGCTGTGTTGCAAAGCATGGGATTCTGGTGCAATGCGCGTGAGGGGAGAAATTTCAATCCAGCGTTTGGGCCAATTTCGCCATTTCATCTCACACCCTCACATGCCCAAACTTACCCAATGATGAATCATACAGGAGCCGCCCCTCTTTCACTATCGTTAACGCAAACCTTCAGACGACACCCGATTATGAACCATAACAATCCTACTGGCCGCTTCCAGCTGTTGCATGCCGTGCTCTCCGACGGAAATGAATCAAGCCACCACTCTGGCAATTGACTTTGAGAGGGCAGGCACAGAATCGCGGTTCTGACTTGCAGGCAACCGAGGCGGACTGAGCTTGATCCGGTTAAGGTGGTTGCCTCCATGTGACGGGTTTGGTAGGTAGCATAGCGTTATTCGCTCTCGTGTACTTTATTTCGGCTCCGAAACTCTGTGCTGATAGTCTGGAACCGAGGGGGTAGCGCGATGGTACTCTGGAAGTACAATGCCTCCGGGGATGATATTTGCTCTTTCATGCGGTCGCGCGAGATACAGTTTGGATCGGAAGGGGCAAGCCGTTCGTTGACATGAACCGGTCGCGTCCGTATCCGCCTCGGACCCCGACGGGGATGTTGGGCGGGTTCCGTGGAGCGTCTGGTCCGTGATGTGAGGACCGTGACTTGGGGGCACACATTCCATCAAGACGGCCATGAAACGACGACCGCAGCGTTGTGGAGTGAGACGGTAAGCATGCACCGTTGGACTCTGAACATGAGTTCGTGTACGAGTTCGTTATACTTGCGGTGAGTCGCAGCCTAAAGGCTATGAGAAGAGGTGTACGGTTTCAGCTGCACTGCATCGAGATTCTCATGGCTTTACGACACGTGATATCATTCTTATCAACACAACAGCTGCACTAGTCAGTTGAACCGCTCAGTTTGCATTGTTGTGACGCCTCAGATCTAGTTTGTTGAACTTCTACCACCATCATTCATCGTTGGGTGAGTCTTCACTCTGCAGCCCGAGACTGTCGCGAAATAAAACCACCCAGCGAGTCAGAGGATTGGGCATTCAAAACGGTTTTGGATTGGTCTTAGTGTTCAATCATCCCTATTTCCCCAAACGGATGTTTGTGGTGTCATGAGAAATTTCCCATTGGCTACCGTTGTAAGCCTCTTTCAGGAGTCGCCTCTAGCCGGTGGGCGGCCGCGCCGTTGGAATGCCGTTGGCGCAGCCAATTACCGGCATTGGGGCGCAGAAACCGGTTAGTCGTTAGCGTTAGAATCAAGGTAGCCTACCAAACTGGAGACTTGTTGCATCTGCTCATATCAACATGTCAGTTTGTCAGTTCGGAAAGCAATGGATGCAGGTCTCACGCACGTGTAAGATTCCGCCGAGGCGTTAAGCCACACAATTCCGCTTCGACGGAAGAGCTTTTCTTCTGCTTCTTGAAGGAAACCAATCGCAGCGTATGCATTTGTCATAGTAAATGTTTGGAATCAGCTCGGAAGCGTGATGCACTTGGTGTAAGCCAAAGTGGCAATGCACATGCAGACACATATTAGCCAAATTGTTATTTTCAAATGTTCTTGGTAAGACGGGACTAGGTGTCAACAAACCGACTATTCCGTCCTCATTCTTTCCTTGATGCTTTCTACTGCAGTGCTCTTTTGCTGTTATCTTGGTCATGTCCGAATTATCAGCGTTGTGTCTATTTTCCAACTCTCAATGTCATCCTCAAAGCCACCCACGTGGATGCAAAAGCAAGGCTCTCTCCGAACTCCCTACAACTTCGTTCATCCTTCTTCAACTAGTGCAATCAACCCACCTTTCTTTACTCTTCCATGCAAGCCGCAGATAGTCTAGGCAGTTAGTCAATGGATTGCGGGGTTCGGCTGCGTCCCGCGCGCTTCTCTCAGTCAGCTTGCCAAGCGAGACTAGCGCGACAGCTTAAAGCTGAGCTCAGCTTTACGAAATCACCGCAGCACCAACTGCCGGTGCCGTCTCTTCCGTACCAAAATCACCGACTGCCTAGGTAGAGCCCTTTGGGAATTGAGAATCCATAGCTCCGACTGCCCACCGCAATGCCCCAGGCCCCACATCGCCCCGGAGCCGATAAAACACACCAAAGGAGAGTCCGTCCGTCCGTCCGTCGTCCACCGGCCCGGGGCGCTGGGCAGGCCGACGCTAGATCCCACCTGTCCCGAGTCATGTGGCTGGTGGAAACCAACAAAGCGGGCCGTAGCAGCCCCTTAAACAATGCAACAAACGTCGTTTATGTCTTCTTTCTTAATAATAACAACCAACATGTTTCATCCGAATTGAATAGCGGCTATAGTCATTCTAAAACAGGGCAGAGTTGCACATGGGATGACTCGCTGCCACCCAGTCTCTTGGCCCACGCTTTTCAGGGGGACATTTCCAGCCTTATTCTCATTGATATTGATGATCGCATCTTTTGCCCGTAAATAGACGTTTGCCAAGACACACATAGCCACGATTTGTCATTGAGGAATTCTTGGATCTTGAAGAAATGGCATTGCAGACCTTTGTTACCAATTAAATCATCGGCTCTTGGGACTTGTTTTACAAATATCACTTGTTTCCTTTTTCCTCTTCTCCCTTCAACTTTCCCCTGCCCCTGAGCGCAGGCCACGTTCCAGACCGTCAACAAGCCTTCGTGCGAGGCGCGCGGCTCCTCCTGTTCGACCCCTTTCAGCCTCCTCCTCGAAGCTGCACCGCTCGGTCCACCAATCCAACCATGTCTCCGCCCTTGCGCCTTCTTTCGCGCGAGAGAGGCCGACGCTGATGTCGATGACGTCGGGACGCCATTTGTCGTGCCAGAAGACCGTCGCACCGCATTTCCCACAGAACTCGCGAAGGACACCGGGAGAGGAGCCGTACGTTTGCAGGATGCCGGGAGGGAGCGCGTTGAAGTCGAGAGGCATGACAACTTGCCGGCCGTCGGGGCTGGGGACGTGGAAGAAGATGTTGCTGCGCGGGACAAAGGCCCACGTCTGAATCTCGAACCCGGTGATGAGGCGGCAGGAGCGGCATGCGCATGTTCCTGCGAGGTATTTCGTCCCGTCGGCGCGAATCCACCACTTGTCCTTCTTGGGGTTGCCCATGAACTCAGCAGAGTGCGAGCAGGCGGCGTATTGCAGGTCGGGGTAGCCGGAGTGAGGAATATAGCTCTTTTCGTCGGGGCGGGTGATATGGAAGCTGACTGTGCCACACGCGCATGAGGCTGGCATCGATTCTGGGCTTAGAAGGGACGGCAGTGAGGGCAGCATCTCATTCGAGCCGTTATCGCCGTTGTGTCGAAGTATCTCCGTTGTTTGCCCGTCGATCTCCGAAAGCCACACCGAAATGCCATCGTCCTTTGTGTCGGGCACTGAGGTATGCCGGATAAAGACCGCATCTCCGTTGACACCGTTCCCGGTGGCATCGTTAATGACACCCGTAGCAGCCTCCCATATGACAGCTAAGACACCAACACGGCTTCGAAAGACATGACAACCACAGGTCGAGCAGAAGTACCTCGTCCATCCCTCCGCACCTTCATGCTTTGTGAGACCTTTGGAGACATCGGGCTGCTCAATGGGGTAGTAAGACGTGCAAAGCACACCGCTGGCGTGGCGATCGACATCGCTGTGGTTGATTGACAGCTTCACGGGCCCTGTGTCTGAACCTCGCGCCTTAACTTGTTGCGCAGTTGCCCCGCAAAGGCAAGAAATGCTCAGTGTTGATACCATGCTGCTGTGAGATGAGGAAGCCTGAAGAGACAACAGGCCATCAGGATTGAACACGATGTATTTAATAGTCCATCGATCTCACGATAAATTCGTCTTATCTTGAACGTCACCAGACTCGCTCCCGACGATCCTCGCACCGGCGGGATTGGGAAGTAAGCTTAGGGCCAACCGGAGCCGAACCGTCCAGCCGGAAGTGGAGAACGTTCCGAAGTTTCGGCGAAAACAAAGCCCAACAACGATCGGATCCGCCCCGTCCTAGGGCGTGTTGGCCGGAAATACGGGTGATACGCCGAAGCTATGCATTTGGGCCAATGATGTGCCGGGATTGGGTTCAGGCTTGGAGAAATAAGTTGGAGGCGTAGCGGAATGTCGCTCGAACGGATTCTTGGTGTGGCTGATGTTCGTGGAATCAAGGCGAGGAAAAGCTTTACCGATGGAGTTGACTTGTGGCGCTGAAGCCTTTGTTCCGGGTATGCAGACGCGAAGGAAATAATCTGTCGCTATAGAAATACCAAGAAATCCTCATTCAGAGAGAATCAACGAAATGATTCCTATTGTGATGCTAATCTTCGAAGCCGTATATTATTAAGTTCCAGATTTGCGTCCTCCTAAATTCTGCAAGAGACGCCGCCTCTGAGTTCGTCCACGATGGCTGTGTTAGCCTCAGATAATACTGCCGACACTTCGCTAGGGCATGTAGCATTCATTGCGCTCATCCTTGGAGTAAGTAAACTCCGTGATTTGCCATAAATCCGAGTCTCATGCTGACTTCCGACCCCAGGCTACGGCATGGACGCTGTGGAGCGTCGTCTACAACCTATTCTTCCACCCACTCTCGCGCTTTCCAGGACCCATTCTTGCTCGAATATCACCGGTGCCGTATGCCATTGCGCTGCTCCGTGGACGCATTCCGTTCTGGGTGAAGGCATGCCACGACAAATATGGCTCAGTGGTCCGTGTCTCGCCCAACGAGCTCTCTTTCGACAATGAAGCTGCATGGAAAGATATTTACGGAAGCCGACCTGGCCACAAGAATTTCCACAAGGACCCCATACATGTGGGAAGTATCCAATCGGTGCCTGGTGTATCCACGATTACCATGGCCAACGACGCGGACCACGCGCGGCAGCGTAGGGCGCTTTCGCATGCATTCTCCACCAAGGCTTTGTTGGAGCAGGAGTACATTGTAAAGTCGTACATCGACGTGTTCTCGCTGAAGATGAGGGAGTTTGCCAAGCTCGGAAAGCGTATGAACGTCGTTAATTGGTTCGCATACACAACGTTCGATATTATCGGAGACATGGCTTTAGGAGAGCCATTTGGTTGCTTGACAAGCGGTGGGTCCTGAATCGACCAAGACCATTTCATATGACTTGCATCTAATAGTACGTGGGTAGAGGACTTCCACTTCTGGGTACCGCTCATCAGTTCATCCATTAAGGCGGGCGCCTTTGAACAGGCTACGAGACGAATCGCCGAAGCGGACGGCTACTTGCAAAGACAGCTGTTGAAGTTGATACCTGGGCGCATCCGAACTACTAGGATGCAGCATCTAGAGTATAGCAGGGAAAAGATCTTGAAGTAGGTGTATGTCCTTAAACTTTCGACAACAGACTGCTGATCGCTTCACTGTTAGACGCATGGCTCAGTCTGGGTCAGACCACAAAGACTTTCTCTACTACTTGCTCAAGCAACAGGAAAGTGGGTTTATCAACGAGAATGAGGTTATTGTCAATGGCGCACTCTTTATGTAAGGATTTTGATTGCATAGACCAAGACGCGCCTAGTGCCGAGACGGAGATGACTTACACCATCACAGAATAGCCGGAACAGAGACAACAGCGGGCTTCCTTGCGGGGCTTTTCAACCAACTCCTGCGGCATCCAAGAGTTTTGCACAAGTTGACGGACGAGATACGGTCGAACTTTCAATCCGACGCCGACATTAACTTCGAGGATTTGGTCAAATTGCCTTATCTGAGTGCGGTGATTGATGAAGGCCTACGAGTCTTTCCATCTGCACCGATCGGGTTTGTGAGGACAGTGCCACAGGGTGGTGATACCGTTGACGGAGAGTTCATACCAGAAGGCGTATGTGATTACTTGAGTTTACACTGGAATCCGGTATCTACCTAATAAGCTTATGGCTGACATCGGTTTGGTAGACAACTGTTTCTGTGCTAACGTGGGGTGCCACGCATAGCGAACGGAACTTCAAAGAGCCCTACAAGTTCCTGCCCGAGCGCTGGCTAGACAAAGGAATAGCACCGACAGGTTTGGGGCATCGAATGCCTTCTCTCTTGGTCCACGAGGCTGTATTGGACGCAAGTGAGCTAGTCTTTGAATCCTCTGATCGATGTCTTTTACTAATCAAAGCGAAGCCTGTCATACATGGAGATGCGTCTAATCATCGGGAAGCTGTTGTGGCACAACGACATCCACTTTCATGGAAGAAACGATGCATGGGATCCTGAAAAGGATTATCCCGGACTAACGGTGTACAATAACTGGATGAAGCCGGGACTGTGGGTTAAGTTGACACCAAGACGGGGCTAAGTCTTCGTAATTGCCCCGTTTCCTGTTCATCGGCGGGCTAGATAGGACCAACTCATTCTGTTGGTAAACTGTGATATCATTTTGAGGCTACGTTCTTCCGTGATGTTGAGACCTGTATCTCAAATTTTGGTAAAGACAAAACCGTTGACCCAGCGACATGAACGAAGTAGGCTCATGATAATGTCAACCTCATTTCATATAGAGGGCAGATGTGCAAGAATTTTCCGACTTATGATCTAGGTTCCTCACTGACAGCAGTACCAAGTCTCGATGATAGTTGTGACAGTGAATTGCGCATGATTCAAGAACCCGGGGCCGCGTCCGGAACATGTCGGCAGCAGACCGAGAGAGTGGGGCCGAGTAGCAAAATGCAACGCTTTAATTGACTTGCACCATCGACTCGACAATGACGTGCTTGATCGAAGGATGATAATGGTCAGATTCAAGCTCTTGATACGTCCGCAACCAGCGGAGTTTCAGTCTCTTATCGGAAATGTGTGGATGCTCCAATTGAAAAAATCTCTTGATCTCTGCACCTTGGCGCATCATTCTGGACAATATCGCCAGCCACCGCAATCGTTCGCTCTCGGCGTTGATGATGTGCTCAAACAGGGCCGCCTGCATGACCGATAAATAGTGATCGCCCGTCGCTGCATGACTCTGGATCGTGTCTGGGATCTTACCTCCCTTCTTGATTCCCGTTTCCCACACTTGAACATTCGGCACCGTCACAACATGGCCGACATCAACGGAAAGGGGCCGGCGGATGGCCCCGCCACCGAGCTCCCCACCGACGCCGACAAGCGGCCCGCCTCCATTACCTCCGCTCCGACGGAATCGTCGCCGGACCACCTACCGAAGAAGCAGCCTATGTCTGGCGTTGATGCCGCTCTGGAGCTTCTCAACGAGACCGGCCCTCTGGGCCATGCCGTCGATCCCGAGCTCAATCGCAGGCTCAAGCGTCGCATAGACACTCACATCATGCCGCTCATCTGCATTGTGTACTTCCTGCAGTACATCGACAAGACCGCCATCTCCTACGCCAGCGTCACTGGCATTCAACAAGACACCGGCCTTCACGGCAATCAGTTCAACTGGGTCGCATCCATCTTCTTTTTCGGCCAATTGGCTTTCGAGTTCCCGACGATCCGTCTGATTCAGATGTTTCCTCTGGCCAAATACACCTCCATCAACATCATGCTTTGGGGTCTAGTTCTTGCGTGCCTTGCTGCGTGCAAGAGCTACGCCGGTCTGCTCGTCTGTCGCTTCCTCCTCGGCGTGTTCGAAGCTGCCGTGGTACCTGCGTGGGTCCTCTTTACCTCGCAATGGTACACGAAACAAGAACAGGCTTTTCGCGTCGGCATCTGGTTCTCGGTCTGTGGAGCGGCGCAAATGTTTGGTGGCTTCTTTGCGTACGGCGTGGCGGTCCATGTCGGCAAAGACCCAAATTCTCTTTTGCATGGATGGCAGGTCATCTTCCTCTTCCTCGGCCTTTTGACTGCCGTCGTGGGTATTGCCTTCTGGTTCACCATGCCTGACTCGCCAGCCTCAGCTGCCTTCCTTTCACAAGAAGAAAAGGCAGCTCATTTGGAACGCATCCGCGACAACGAACAAGGCATCGGATCTCAGGAGTTCAAGTGGTCGCACGTCAAGGAGGCGCTCACGGATACCATGACTTGGCTCTACGCATTCTGGATCTTCGCCGCCAACATTCCGAACTCGATTGCGACAAGCTTCGGAAACATCCTCGTCAAGGGTATGGGGTACTCCAGCGAAGAGTCATTGCTTCTGGTCACACCTCTTGGCGCCTACGAGATTGTCGCCCTGGTGGGTCTGACATGGCTTGCCATGAAGACACGGCAGCGACTCTACTGGTGCATTGCGGGCCACATCCCCGCGATCGTGGGTGCCATTCTCATGGCCAAAACGTCGAAGGTTCCCGCACTGATCGGCTACTACACTTCAGGAGGTATCCCGATCGGGTGGACGACGATCCTGGGTCTTCAGTCAACCAATGTCGCGGGATCCACTAAGAAGGTTACGGTGGCATGCATTGGGACGATCGCGTACACCGTGGGTAATATTATCTCGCCGCAGACTTTTCAGGCACGGGATGCGCCGCGGTATCTCCCTGCCAAAATCTCCATTTGCATCATCTACTTCTTGGTTACTGTCGACCTGTTCGTGATGCGGTGGGTGCTGGATAGGAGAAACAAGAAGCGGGATGCTGAGAAGGCGGCTCTCGGAGATGCTTACAAGGTGGAAGAAAATCACGAATTCTGGGATTTGACGGATCTCGAGAACAAAGAGTTCAGATATGAGTTGTGAGGAAAGGACTTTCTGGCACGTACCTGTGTTATACGTGAGTATCAGACGAGAGGAATGATGATAACCCCGACTTAGTTGAGTACATATTTATGTCCACAATAGATCCCATGTCTTCTTAGGGAAAAATAATTCGCTCTCTCTTGCGAGACTTGAAATCAAATGATTGAAGTCCATCGTAACACTGATAGAGACTCTGTCAGAACTGTCGATGGTTCAAAGGGAGAAAAGTCGACATGGGTTGTCCTCTTCTGAGCCTGGCGCGAACTTACGTAAGGCGGGTCGTAACGCAGCTTCTATACCCCCGCAGTAACTAGATCGCTGCCTAGAATCAATCACATTCACACCTCAAGCATACAAGGTGGCGTGATGAGAATCGTGAGCTATGAATGCCGACGAATTCCGCGACAGTGTCGAAAGTGGCAAGACGCCAGTCGACAGCCATGATCGACTGTTGCGAATAGCATTCATATACTTGGACGAATCGGTGTGGGATGGCAGAGGCGTTTTTGATATTGTTGATCGACTTCACAAGCGTGGCTGGTCATTTGGCAAGGGAGACCTAAAATTCAATCGGTAGGATTCTTGAGTAGAAGAAGCTATTTGGGTGAGAAGTAATGAGCTGACGATAACAAGCACTCTGGACCTTTTCTATCTCGCTCAACTCGTAGCCGCCATGTACCGCTCCTCGGATCAGGATGAGGGTATATTTGCCTCGCCAGATGAGTTTGACGAATTCTATGTCGAGCACCACGAGCTACTCAAGGATGATGCGTGGCGAGAGTACTACTCGTCTTCTCTCCTCTCACAGCCAACCTCATCCCGTTTCTACCGCCTCCCCGACCTGCAAGATCTCCCGGACTCGAGCGACCCGCTCGCGCAGCCACGCCAAAAAGGAAAAGGTCACCTGACAAAGCTTCCTCGCTGGGCACACAACGTTGTGCGCACCTGTCGACGACAGCCATGTCTACCCGTCGAGATCGTCACTCAGATAGCCCTCGACAGCCTCGAGAAGACCATTGCACGCTTGCGAGAGGACTATCCCTGCGTCCAGCCGTACTCAGAGATCCAGGCTCGCTTCTGGCTCAAGTACATGAAAATAGACTCTCCCCGCGAGCCGTCAAAGGAGGCGTGGAACCCCAATGACTTCGGTATCTCTGTTGCACAGGGAGCCTTCGACTTGTGGGCTTGGGAAGCGCATTACTCACGGGAACGGTGGGAGGCCGTCGATGCGCCGCGTCTTGAGCCGGACTTGGATGGCACGCGCGAGAGTGAGGTTACCTGGTGCGGGTTGCCCGATGGCGGGGTGGGTGAGATGGCGCGGAACCGGGGATGGGAGCCTGAGGTGGGGAGCGAGGAGGAGATTGCTTTCCTCGCGGCTGTTGCGGTGAAGGAGACGGAGGGCGTCGGCATGAGGGATTTGGACTATGGGATGCGGTCGCACATTCTCCTTGGATTGATGGGTGCTGCTTTCGGGGCCGAGAAGGTACATCAGGTGGAGGAGGTAAAGCAACGGATGGTTGCTGGTGGAAGAATTGACGAGACCAGGGTCGAGCAGTGGATTCGAGAGGCGCTCATGGTCATGGAGCCATACGTGCGTAAAAGGGACGGATGGCCTGCCTCTGAACAGGATCGGAGTAAAATGCTGCGGCAGATTCTGGTGGAGAATGGACAGCTGTTTGCAAGATGGAGCCTCTCGGAGTCTTCCAAAGAGTTCAACTTCGAGCTGAAACCAAGGATATAGAACCAGATTAAGGCAGGAACACGAGGATACCAAAATGAATAGCTGTTTATTTTATTTATGATGTTATGTACTATGTTGATTTTATCCCACGCCGACAATCCATGTACGCTTCAAACTGTTATTCCGTACA